CCTAAGCTCAATGGGTTTAGTAATTTGTTTGAAGTTGTTAGATCTTCTTGTGATGCTCAATAGAAATATAATGAAAATCACATATTAATTTTTAACTTTGTAGTAGCTACATAAAGAGCACAAGGAAACAGTTGAAATGAATATTAATAGTATATTACATTTAATATAGAATATCTAATATAATGTCCTTGGAGCATATAATCTATTAAAAAAATCAATGAGCTCTTTGCATTCTCTAATAAATCCCATGTTTTTAAGTCTGTGCATATTTCAAAGACCTCATTAACCACATGTGCTATGTCCAGTATTAGAGAGCTCAGTTTTAGAGTATTTATTAGCACTATCTTTTGTTCTCTGCTTATTTTGATGTTGACACCAGTCCGTTGCTTACAGGTCTACCATTGGGGACTTCATTAAGGATTTCTCCCTAATTATAATTGTGGGAGTTACACTGGGCCCTAACGCTCGAAGAGCCTGTTTAGTGAATTTGTTTTATATCGTTCTACTTTTGGACTGTCAGGCAGTAAAGCAAGTGAACGGGGTCTGGTGGCCCTTCTTTCCTTCCTAGAGTCCTTGGCTTTCAGTCATGCCCTGAGATGTCTTGATTATATTTGAATTACTGGTGGGCAGATGTGTGAAGATCAAGGCGTTTCTTACCCTTTAAATTTTCTTTCAGTGAGCTGATGCTGATGTCACTGTGCACTCTGCCATGATGACGTTTTGTAGGCTGTCACTTAAGGGAAGCTGGTATTGGTGGAGCATTATCCACCAATGTGCTCCCATTAGATTTAGATGCGCCTTTGTAAAACAAACAAACAAACAAACAAAAAAACCATTTTTCATTTTATTTCATGGCGGTGCTTGAGTTATCCCTTGCTGTTTTCATTGTGATGAATTATTGACTCTTAAAAAATTAATATACATTGCTGGAAGAGTAAGTAAAGATTGTTTCTTTTAATTTTTTTTACCCTTTAGGTCTTTTTAAAAATATTAGTTCAGAAGTAAAAAGGAATAGTTTACCTAAGATAATAAAATCACTGCTTTTAATGTGTTTTTATTTAAGGTAGAAAGCAGTTGAATTTTTTCTGAATGTGTTGTTCTACATCACCTCGCTTTGGTTTCCTCACATTGATTTTTTTTTTTCCTGATTTACTTTAGAGGGATAATCTGTAATTTAATAAGGCTTTAAAAATGGCTTTGGTATTGAATCTGAGGCTCTGCCTAGAATGCGGTGCGTGGGCCAGAGGCAGTGAAACAGAATGGCCTTTCCCCTGGGACCACCGGCATCCTCAGTCTTGCCGAGGATTCTGTAGGGGAAGAAATGGGGAATGATGAGTACATTTTGGGTTCAAGTCTGCATTACCATTCTGGATTGGCTTCCCCAGTGCCTCAGTCTGTTCAGGGTGCTCCAACAGAGTATCCTCTGGACTTGGTGATTTACGATCAACAGAGATTTATTTCTCACAGTATGGTGGCTGAGAAGTCCAAGATTAAGGAGCTGGCAAATTCAGTGTCTGGTGAGGGCCCTCTTCCTGGTTCATAGACATCCATCTTTTTACTGTGTTTCTATGTTGTCTGGAAGGGACGAGGGGGTCTCTTTGGGTGCTCTTTATAAGGGCACTAATCCCATTCATGAGGGTTCCACCCTTATGACAATCACCAGCAAAGGTGCCACCTCCAAATACCATCATCATGTTGAGCATGAGGTTTCAACATACTCATTTTGGGTGAAACAGACATTCAGTCTGTAGCCCCTAAGGACTGTCCTTTGTGCCTGGAGAAGTGCTTAGTGCCTCTCAAACTGTCCTAGTGAAGGACTGATTTTTAAATCCCCAATCCATTATTTTCTGATACTTTTGTAAAATAGATGTAAATTACTGGAAAAATGAAAATAGAGAAACCCAAAGACATACTGGTCTAGATTCAATAGATAAAACATTTCTTCATCATGTTGCTGTACAATTTCTTACACCCTCAATCTCTGTATGTATTTACTGCTCAATGGGCAGGGAACACACAGGACTGGGCATCAGCCTGTGATTAAGAGTTTGAGCAGGGAGCACTGCTGTGCACCTGTGTAATTCTCATAGCTGCCACTTTATGAAGAGTGTCTTCCACTTCACAGGCCAAGACGCAGGGGTAAAGCCATTCTGCAGGATGCCAAAGGTATACCTGTGCTGGAGCTGGAATTCCAACCCGGAGCTGCAGCTCCCCTACAAGGGTCTTTGTTAGATTCGCTCTCCGCTGGGTGGACCACATTGTAGGATGAACGGTTGTAGGATGTGGCCTGGTTCCAGCTTGCCTGTGCTCTCCCTGCCTCCCTTTGCTAGAAGGGGAAAGGAATGGGCAGAGGAAAGAAGATAAGTGAAGACGAAGACTTGTTTCTTTGTCATTTTATTGTGTATTTTCACAGAACGGTGATTGAAGTTGAGAGAGAAACCAAAACTCAAGTCAGTGAACTTTGCTCGTTTTCAGTATTTCTAATGCAAATTGTGCTCAAACTTAAGCTTTTGAAGAATCAATTAATTTAATTACTATATACCATCCTAGGACTCTCATTATTAGAAATTTCCATTTATAGTGAGCCACATAGTGGAGGTTCAAGATAAATAGGAAAAAAAAACCCAACCCTAATATTTAATGATCTACAAAGATACTTGTCAATATGTCCTCAAAATCCTTGCCGTTTCTAACATCATACTTCTACTATGAAGTTCCCAGTACTGTCTTAATTTATACATTAAATGAAGCAATACAAAAATATACGCAGTGGAAACAGACCAAGGCTATTTTCTTGATGCAGTAATTTTTCAGGCCATAAATTTAGTTAATGTTAATTTTAACTATTTCTACTTATGCCACATAACTATTAACTATGTCAGGTTTCTGGAGGTTTTGTCTGGGGCTGTATGTGTGATTTTATTCTCTTCCATGGCCTGATAATGTATCTGTTCAAAGCAGATGGGTGTGATTGGTCATGTAGGGTGCCAGGGAAGATAGTGAAAAATTGTTTGCAATCACTGGAATATGACTAGAAGAACCCAAATTTCTTAAGAAAATGACATGGGAGGAAGGAAAAATAATTAATTTTCTTGTAGAATTAACCTCAGTGATGAAAAGTTGATTTCTAGGTTTCTAACTTCGCAGGTGGATGGCAGGTGGTGGTCCATCAACTCAACAGATCGTGAAACTGGATGGGTTTTAGGCATGGGACAGATGACAAGTTTGGTTTTAGACATGTCAAATGGAGAGATCTATGGGGGTAATTTAAGTGGCGCTATCTTAGGGAAGATAGCTTAAGTGGAAGGTAACTTAGGGAGTTAAAGATGCAGTAAGAAGAATACAGTTCTAAGTGCAGGCATGTCAGTCTGTAGAGGAGGAATTATAGCCCAGGAAAGTGAAGAGAACAGAATCCAGGCTATGCTGACACATGAGGTGAAATCAGAGTCCCAAGGACTGGCAGGAGCCCTGGAGAAGAGCCTCTACCCTTGTGGTCCACGTGAGCCCCGCCAGGAGGTCAAATGACGTGTGGGTTCAAATGTGCCCATTGCATTTGGGAACCAGAAGATGACAGGAACTTAGGGAAAGTAGCCGGAACAGCACAGAGGGGACCGGGTTGCATTTGTGCAAAGTTAAGAAAGCGCCTGTAGGACAGCATACATGCCTTCTGTTTTTCTGATATTAAGTGTCTGTATATTTTTTTTTTACCTCTGAAGAGGATAACACCATCGATAGAAATATTACCTGTACCTGTTTCAAATTCAAGTTCTAAGCTCTGTGATTCTAGCTGAAATTAAATAAAATATATAAGAGCTAATTGGCTCACTGAGAGTCAAAATTTAGGTTTGTGTAATTTCTCCTTTTGAGGAAGCGCAGCCTCTGTGGGGCACTGCCCGTTTTCACGGGAGGCTTTCAGAAATGACTGGGAGTCCTTGTGGTTGGTCCTTCTGAAAGTATTTTGTTCTTCTCCACCCCCATCCCTGCTGGGGAACCAAGAATGCTATTATTGCTGTTAGGAATATTGTTTCACTCTGTGAATTTGTGTGACAGCTGGGCACAATTATTTTATTAGTTTCCTGATTGACCCAACTTAAACCAAAAAGAAAGACAAGGTCAACATATGTGATAGCTGTTAGAGCAGCTGTCACTTCTGGTAATTTGACCATAACCCTTTTTTCTCCTTTCCTCCAGTGTTCTTCTGAGCAGGTTTCTAACAAAACGCTGAGGGTAAATAGAAATTGTTGTGCTTCACAAGACTGGGTGGGATATAGGATAATAGTCTCATAAGCAGTATTTATGAGGGTGCGTTAGTGTTTGGAAAATACAGGTTAAATGTCTGTTCAATAGCCCCATGCCCACCTCTATTTTAGGAGAACTTCCTGTGGGGTCGTGTGACCCTTCAGGACTCTCTGGAGAGCAAGGTTGGAGACCGAACTGACACAGCCCTTCCGATCTGATGCTCACGTCCCTCTATTAATTGGTTGGCATGTGGGCCAGGTGCAGGATGAGACAGCCTGACAGTAGAACAGTGACCTCTCTAAGTGACCTGAAGAAAAGCACTCTTCTATTCTGTGGTCAAATTGATCCGATCTAACAGGTTCTCTCTGTGCATATTTCGTTTTGCTCTTGTTGACCAGTTTCAAGGCTCCACATTAAAAAAGGAACACGTTCTAATTTTGAGGCTGCAGGTTATCGCATGTATAATCATTATTTTACAGAGACCCATTGATTGCCTAAACTATTAGAGATTTTCCTTGCTGGCCCATCAGACTCTTACAAGACTGGTGAAGACGATAACACTGAGGGACTCGTGGCTACTGGAGGAAAGAGGGTGGGCTTTGAAGTTCCATGGCATAAAACCCCAAGGCTCTTTGCAAACCGCTTTTGAATACTTGAATTAAATGACTTTACTCATTCTTCATTTAGGACTGAAAATGACATGTTCTTAAGCATGCCATTGGAGTTCAAATTAACATTTCTCCCCTTTCTTTCTTGAGCAGGTTGTCAAGTTATTAAGCAACAAAAGATCACAAGCAGTTGGAATATTAATGTCTAGCCTTCATTTAGACATGAAAGACATACAACATGGTGAGTAGAAAAATAAAAGTTCAGTTTCTGAATATGAATCATTGGGCTGAAGAGTATGATGTTTGGCGGTACAGTTTTTTCACACTTAGAGTTTTTGTGTGTGTTGAAATTAGTATGTTTCCTGTAACTGCTACTCTCTTCCATGCTGAAAGATTTTTCTGTTATTTCTGTCTTACAAAGAGCCTGATTCTCGGGTGACATATTTAGTCTACATTCATAAATATTTACATTTTAGTTCATTACAGGTGCTAGTCCCACTGTGCTCTGAAACTGGTTAGACTGTACCTGAAATACTTACTTCTGGATGCCAGAGGCAAAATGACTGATGGGCAGTAGCGAGAGGCAGGGATAGTGGAGTGCGTCTCAGACAACGGAAGTCCTCGGAGAAGAGTCCACAGGAGAGAAAAAGATGTTGAGACTTGACTCAATTGTTCGATGAACTAACATAAAAAAGAGGAAGGAAACCTGAAATTTTCTAGTAGGTCAGCTTCAACCAGTGTTAAGAGTAACAAGGAAGCTTGTTTTGATTGTTGTTGTTTTAAGAGTGTTCTGATGATTAGAGGTGTCGAATAGGGATGGGATTGCCATATTAAGTGATGAAATGAAAAGTCAAAGCTGCTCAAGAGGCTGGCCGAGCCTTCATCTCAGATGTCTCTAAAGCAGTGGACGGAGGATGGGGCGTGTACTCCTGGTCCCTCGTTCCAAGATACTGTGAGATGTTGAAAGAATCGTTAAAGCTCATTGTTATGTATAACTTTTCAGGGTGAAGACCTGGTCCCTCTTCTTTCAGTTAAGTGGGACAACCAGAGTGTACACCACTGGGCTTTTCTACACATAGATGGATTGAATTATTTTTTTCTAATAACCATCAAAGATAGTTTCAAAGTCTTCTTGCCTACTTATATTATTGTTCATGGTCCCGACACATGGAAGCAGTAATATGCATGACCTTTTGTTATTTCTTTTATGTTTTTGTTTTAATTTATGTCTTCAGCCAGGCTTATGCAATATTTTTTACATTTGGAATCAGGATGATTTTTAACATTTTCTTAGTGGCTTTAGAGTCAATGTTTTAATACTTGAATGCAACCCTACAGTTGACAGGCGTTCCTTTGCCTTATCCTCTGATCACATTTATGCTCAGAGATATTGCCCAACGGTGAATAGAGGAATTAAATTTATATTCAGAAGGTCCCTTAAGCTGTCCAGAGCCTTAGAATAGATTTAAAGCAGATTGAATTATCCAATGGAATGCCAGTTTACCTATTAAAAAAATGTGGTTTCAAGTATAACACAGACCTTATAAATCATGGAAACATTTAACTGACTTTCTAGCTTACCCCTTTATGAGTGCAGATCCTATTTGTTAGGCTTAAAATATCGTGTGGAATAATCCGTAAATAGCACAAGCTTGGTTTGCCTTGTCCATTGATGAGTAACTCTTAATCACAATATAAGTTTTTATTAAACTGTTTTGATGGTGAGGAGACTTCCTCGGCCTGAAACATTGCGGGTCGTAGTCATCGAACAGGACACCAAATCTGGCGCCAAGAAGTACTTGGCGTTTCTAAAGCTGGCAGATGCAGCGCAGTTAAGTCATAGAATGAAATCTGAAAATAATGATATGGTCCTTCCTTCAGTCAAATATTCAACCCGGCTTGAGTTAATAATGAGAACCTTATGAACAAAGGAGTCCGCCTAACATCTGTGTCTGTGGTAATGCCAGCAAGAGTTCATTGAAAAATTTGCAAGCTTAACATGCGACACTAACAATAACATAGCATGAATGTCAGTAGTTGAAGGGTCACACAGAATTATGCATAAACTTTATCCTATTAGGATATAAAGGGATTGCTTGGGGCACTGGGAAACACTGCACACGTTTTTCTAAAAAATGGCTGCCTCAAAAGCCTGAAGAAGCCAGTCGTGTGGCTCTGAGTGGATGGAGCCTCATTCTGCCTCAGTATCTTGTCTGGAGCCATGATTTACACGTGTGAATCACTTGTGGTCTCTAGAATAAACTTGACTTCTCCCAGAACATGCCTTCACTGAGAAATCCGCAGCAGCATAAATGTTATTGATACTGGGTGTGGAAGCAGCTACAAGATTGATCCAGACCTCCGATGGCATCTTACAGAAGAGCCAATGAAGACCTTGTAGTGGCCAGGTTTCTTTGTCAAGGTCATGCAGCTCTTGCGGGGAACAGAGTGAACGTTCACAAGCCCGTCCTGTTCTTTGTATTCAGATGAGATGCTTCTCCAAGATTGTGCCTTTCCTACAGCCGGCACTGGTATCTTTAAAACAAGATCTGTGGAATGTTGTTTTTAAAAAAGCAGGAATTAGTTTCTGTCTGTCTCTTCTTCCCCATTAAAACTCTAGAAAAACTTAGAGTTCAATTGACTTTTAATGTTTCCATTTTAAAGTGCCCTGTGAGAGTCATTAGTGTGGAAAGTTTGGATTATAGTTGCCAAAGGTCTGATTGTGGTCTTGCCGCTACATCCACTGAGCACGAAGTCACACCCAGACTCGAAGGGGCACACAGGTTATTTCCCACATTAGCTCATGAGGAGTCCGCAGCGCCACATGGAGTGAAAGGACCGGTCTCTTGATTATTACTGCGGCAACCGTGAGTGAGGCAGCCTGAAATAATTAACTCTGAGTGTGTGTTTGTGTGCCTGCGTAAAGGTTACAGCGAAGGCTTGAGCTGCTGGACAAAAATTGTGAGTGTGCCTGGTAACTTCCAGGTTACCATACAGGTTATGGCAGTTTTTCAGTGGGGAGGGCGGAGTGCCACCTCTGAAAAGCCCCACCCCCATGGCTTAGAATAATTTAAAGTCCAGGATGAAAGTGCCCATCAGAGAGGATTTGCCCTAGTTTGTGCCGCGGCTGGGGGTCGGGGTGCGGAGGCGTTTAGGATCCCCTCAAATCTATCTCAGGTGGGCCTTTCAGGCACTAATGGCTCACCCGCTGATGAGTTGGCATTCCTGAGTCCCAGTTTATTGTCAGGGGGGTGTCTAGAGTCTGTACTTTGATTGACCCTGAGCTTTAATATTCGTTCCCAGCTCAATGAAGCTATCAGTAAAAATTCTTAGAAATAGGTATTATGAGAGTATCCCACAGCTTGATAGGTTAGTTTTGTGAGAACAGATTGAAATTCCTACACAACATTTTGCCTTTACTTCAGGACTCACTAGGGCGCTCACAACTCTCAGGTCCGTGTTGGTAGGTAATAGTAGCGACAAAAGAATTTCAAATTTCCTAAGGCTCAGCTCTAACCCCCACAATGTGACCTCTGTGTAGAATAGCCACATAGTTTTTCGTCCACACTAGAATAATTCTGAGAGTGGAAGGCAGTGCTATGAATGATATCGCCTGGGCAACAAGGGCAAAGTGGGAATTTCATAGGCATGTGGGTAGTAGAGGGACCCCACTCCTCGTTCAAGTGGAAGCCACTTTCTGATCTAATCCTCCCTCATATACAACTGTTTATTAAAAATATCTATTGGGCCCTGGCTGGTGTGGCTTAGTTGGTTGAAGTGTCATTTCAAAACCAAAAGATTGAGGGTTCGATTCCCGGGCAGGGCACATACCTAGGTTGCAAGTTTGATTCCCTGGTCGAGGCACACAAAGGAGGCAACCGATCAATGTTCCCCTCTCCCTTCCTCTCTACAAAAGCAATGAAAAAATGTCCCCAGCTGATGATCAAAATTTTTTTTTTAATGTATTGGCCAGCAGGAACTAAACAGTTCAAAAATCTGCTTTGTACCCCTGAAGTTGTCTAGCTCTTTGTCTTTTCAGGCACTCTCACCGATATCTTACCGGAAAGCTTTGATCTAGGCTGATGCAAACACATCCCAGAGGGATCTCTTACCTTTATATTCTGCACTGGGCAACTAGAAGTCCAACTCAGCCAGTGGCTGGGCCCTGGACTATTTACGGACTAAGCCTCAGCCAGCCTCCTTAAATAAAGTGGCCGTAGCCCTCACTAGGTTCTCATACTCGGTGGGAGGGTGTGGGGTGGAGCATCTCTAAGAGATTTTAACAAATCCACAGGTCTTTTGAACCTTTAACTTCACGAGTGAATGTCCACTTCAGATATTAGTATGCGCGTTAGCAAAGCTTCAGTTACCGCTCTAGCAAGGAACAGCAGAGGAGCTTGTAGGCACTGCCTCTGGAGGACGGCCTTTCTTACCTAGTGCTGGCCACCCACCCCGGGCGTGTGGATCCTGACTGTCAAGACAGCGAACCCCACCTAGAGTTAAAGCTTGAACTGGCTCACAGACATTATTATATGCCCTCTGTATACATATTTTAAAATGGATTACAGATTTTGTAACCAGGAATACCTAATATGTATGTGTTTAGTGATCCCGCCCGGGGAGATAGCTTTCGCCGTCCTTCTAGGCTGGGCCAGCCCAGGGTTTGAGTGGCCCTGTCAGTGTGTCTTTGACATTTTTCCTGTCTAAAGCCAGCTGGTATTGTGGGCCCAGGAGCGATGAGTGCTAAGTTATGTCCTTGTTGAAATTTCTTGCTGTTTAAACATGATTTATCAAAATCATGTGTCTTAAAATGAAGTGATATAATTATGTAAACACCAAGTATTCCGTCAGAAATATAGTTGATATGATTAATAACATTGTGGTTATTTTCATTCATCTCTAAGCCTAATGGTTGTTTCTTCACTTTTTATTTTAAAAATGTGGTTACGGATATCTTACGAGGACTATAACACGCTTTCAGATTTTCATCAGAGTCTGGGGAAGTTTGTTCATTTGTGACTCCTCATGGGAACCTGCTTCATGTTGCTGTTCTTTTGTTTTGGTCTCCGACTTCTCTTAAAGGGGCTCGGAGCTGAGGAGTCTTACCTGGATTACCGTGTAGGAAGAAAATCACCTAAGGTTGCAGGTACTTAAAAAGAGAATTGCTTTTGGCAAACAGGATACATATCCTAATATCTTTCCTAATAAAATCTTTTTATTAGCATCTAAAGAAACAGAATT